AACAAGCAACAAGTACTTCAGCATCTTCAAGTAATGATATAATATAACATAATACACTGACTATTATAATAAATACAGGATCTGGACAATTACAAGATAGTAGTAGTGAGACTCAAGTAACTACCAATACTGATGCTACTGCACAAGGTTAGTAACATTAATTATACTCGATTCGATGTCATTACACTATATTATAGGTGTAGTAGAGGTCATAGTTCATCCTGGCTATGAAGCTGAGTTTGATAGAATGGGTGATATGCTTGGTACACTTATTGATGATATTGTTCCTCTCATTAAAGTCTCCATACCATCTGTGGATCACCTTAAAACCTACCTTGGAAGGTGTCGTCGAAGCTTAAAGCCTCAATTAAAAGATGCCAATAGCTTTGATGATGTAATGGAAGTGATTGAGGATGAGTGTTCTATCACTAACGTTGCTCTATTGGAGACTATAGTGAACAAATACTCAATACAAGATGCTGGAGACATGATATTAGCTTATCAGACACACTTGGATGAATTCTGTGAGAACAAACTAACAATGTTTTGTGATCGTCAGCTTAAGAGATTATCCTCTTCTCTCCTCACTTGTGAGACAATCAAGTTTGTTCTGAAATGGAATCCAAGTGAGCATTCTCTCTCCAGTATCAGAGCCCTCCTATGGAAAACGTTCAAGGATAATCAAGTGGAGGTGGTAGTGATCAAGGAAGGGAACTCCATCATTGTTACTTGTTATGCTCCTCATTATCTAATGGAGAGTTTACTAGTGACAGCTAGAGATAACGTTGATATGCTAAAGGAGATGGGATTGATTAGTTTAACTATTGGTTACTATACTGTGTATGATGAACATGCTATTGATAAGGTTAGTGAATGTATGTGTATATAAAGTATACTTTAATATTTGATAGGAAGTGAAAAGTCTAACGAAGAAACTGGAGATGGTAGAGAGTGAAAGAGATGATTTACTTGAGGAAAATGCTAAATTGAAGGGTACAATAGACGCAT